GCCCCCAGAGCACGCAGGGCGTTTGTAAAATAAAAATCAAGGAAACGCTAATTGCTCGGAAAGATCCTAATGGGAACAGCCGTTCCCGAACCCCTTTCCCGGGTGAATTGTGCCTGTGGGGGTTTTAGCCTCTCAGTGGTGGGGGGCAAAGGGTGGTTTGAATAGAAAGAAATATGGGTTACGAGTAACAAATAAAAAACAGCTTTACTTTTCTTTTTTAAGGAAAGTAAAAAGCATGTGCAGGAAAAGGAAATTAGGATCCGTCTGGTGCCAGAGGGTGAACGCGATGACTAGTATTACAGGCAAGCATGTTTATGTCAACCCAGTATCTCTCACAAGGAGTGAAGATAACACTGGGGCCCTGGTGGAGTAAAGGGATGAAAAAACAGCATTAATGTTCCTTAAATTTCAGTTTTGTTAATATTTTTAGGAGTTTATTATGTTGGGCGCCAGAGGCCTTGTAGACACAAGAAGAATAGGATGGGCAAGCACCGAAAACTTTGCAGACTAAATCAGGACAGTGGGTAGCTGGAGGCAGGAGACTTGCTTCTCGTGACAGCCCCAGGGCAAGTTGAGTCAGTCCAGCAGAGGCCCACAGAGGTGGCAACCTGCGCTGACCCTGAAGGTGGCCCTGCTCTGAGTAGGGGCCAGACAGTCTCCAAAGGCCCCTAGGGTTATGCTGTGAGGGACAGCACAAGGCGAGAGCTCTCGGGTTTGCTGAGGATCCTTTAGTGGCACGTGTGGACCTTTTGGTTGGGGAGGATTTGAACCCACCTCCCCGAGGAAAAAGGCAAGTGTGGAGGACGAGTGCTCGTGGTGTGCTGCCGGCTGCATCCTCCCTAACCCCCCCATCTGCCTCTTTTCAGAAACACGAGTTCTTTGTGGACATGACCTGTGAAGGCTGCTCCAATGCGGTCACCCGTGTGCTGCACAGGCTGGGAGGTGAGTCAGTGCTGGGTGCGTGACAGCCAGCTCGCCGAAGCAACGCCAGCTCCGAGGCAGGATGTCAGTGCCCTGGGATCTTCTGTCTTGCAAGGGTAGCACTCTGGGTAAAAGCTGAAAGTGGCTGATTGGAAACCTCTGCTCCCCACTCTGCTCTGAGCCTGCTGCTTCATCAGTAACAAGTTGCTGGTTGTTAGCAGGACTTGTGTGACCCTTGGAGAAATGTCAAGGGAGGGAGGAGCTGCCATGGCTGCAGGTGTCTCTGAATCACCAGGGCCTCATCCTGAACCCTCTAGGAACGACACTGGTAGACCTCTGCTCAGGCTGCCAGAAGGAAGGGAGGTGGATGTCCTGCCAGGCGTTGTTCCCAAGGGGGCCTGGGGTATCTGTGGTGCTTCCCTAGATGTGTCATCAGCAGTCACAGTGAAGAGCTGCTGAGCAGAGCGTTTGGTGGTTGCCTGCATAGCCTGTTTTTAATACCACCTGGAAAATTATAACCCATGCCTCCTTTATGCTTTACTAAGAGAGAAGAATCTAGCCTGCACTCACCGGTTGTAAGGACATGTCATCCTGCTCCCCTGTCCTCACCGAGTGAGAACAGCTTTCAGTCACCAAGGCAAAGGCCTTGCAACTTCTTTGAGACCTTGTTACCAGGCTGTGGTGATCCCACTGCTTCTGTGTGTGGTTGTCAGCACCGCCATCATTCTTCAACATGCTGGCCATTATCAGCCTCATGTAATGATGTGGCAGAGCTCTCAAAGCTGATACATACCTACAAGTTTTGTGAAAACACGTGGCTGGATAGAGACTTCATATCCAGTTCCTTTCACTGGGCTGAGAGTGGCTCACCCTTACTAGCCACTGGGAAATCCACATGGGAAAATGTCTTTTCCCTCCTCCTACTTACAGGTGTTAGCTAGTAGCACCACTGAAGAAACCTGTCCTGACCCTGTCCTAACCCCTACGCTAACTCCCTCGTTGGTGCCTGTCCATGCTAAACCACAGCACAGGCTGAGCTGGTTGGAGATTATAGTGGTTGGTTTAAGCTCAGCTCATTCTGGTTATTGTGTGAGTGATTGTGTTGATCCAAGGTGGGGTGAGCAGATTAAAGCAGTTGAGAAACTGTGGTGCCCGATGCAGATCTATAGGAGATCTGGCTTCCTTCGTACTATTGCTAGCAGGACACCAGGTTGGTTTTGCTGGCTGGTGGTGGTATCAGGGTTTGCTGGCAGGAGGCACACGTACATTTCACTGATGGCCTTGGGAGCACGAATGTATGAAGGTGAGCTTTCCCCGTGCTCACACCATTTGGCTGCTTCTAGCTGTGCAAAATTTTTTTCCTTTTCTTGTAGGTGTCCAGTTTGATATCGACCTGCCCAACAAGAAGGTGTGCATCGACTCGGAGCACAATGTTGACACCCTATTGGAAACCCTAAAGAAGACTGGAAAGAATGCTTCCTACCTTGGGGAGAAGACGGTGCAGTAGCCTTGCCTGGTGTGAGTAGGCTAGCTATATACCAGGTGAATGAAATGCTGAAGAGAGAGGTCTGAGCTTGTTCCAGCTCTCCCCGTAAAACAGGCTGCTTCCTGGGAAGCACAAAGTAGGAAAGACCTGCAGGTCTAGCTTCAGCAAACCCCTCATATCAGAGAAGCAGCAGGACCACATACAGCCAGCACCATTTCTGTGTGGGACCCTTTAGCTGCTCTGCAAAGCCCACGTGATCCCAACCATGGTTGTAGTGGAGAGGTAGAACACAGCCTCTGTGCCATTCCCAGGTGAACCTAGAGTTTGCCAGAGCATATCGTGTATGAAAACAAATCCCAAAGACATTCACCAGCTGACCAGAGAGAGTGGTGGCCCCCAACAATACCAGGGAGGGCAATGGGACACAAAGACCCCTGCGGGTATGTGATGCAGGCAGTTGGTTGTTAGTACAAGGACCTCCAACTGATTCTGTTGATATCGCTGTTAATCCTCCACTAAACTGGAGGATGGAAAAAAAGCAGCACCGTCCTATCCTCATGGACATAAACTGTTGGGTTTCAGAATAGCTCCAGGTGCACACAGCCCCTGACCAACGGGACATCCATCCCAAAGACAGCCTGATTCTTGCAGCCTGTCGATTTTCCTAAAGTCCCAACACTATGAGGACATGTAAAAAACTCCTTCCTGACTGTGAAATGTTTTTGCAGACAGGGTTCAATTTGAGTGGAAAAGAATGAAGTGGGAGGAGAGGGCTGCCCACTCACTGCATGTACTGTTCTTTAGTGTCCAAGATTATTATATTGCATCTCTTAAGAGCTTGTTTCTGTCAGTGGAGCTTTCTAATCCAATGACGTTGTTTTAAACTGGTCTAGTTTGATCATCACAAATACCCAGCACAGATGCATTGAAACCAGTTCATGCTGATTTAATTCCCAGTCAGTAAATTAAATCAGGGATTTAC